CCTCGAACGTGCCCACGCTGTTTGCGACGCTCCACAGGTTCCCGTTGGCGCACAGCAGCGCGCACTCGCCGAGCGGCGCCTCGACGACCGCCAGGCGGTGCGCGACGACTGCGGCCTTGAGCGGCGGCGGCGCGGCGCCGGGCGCGGCGACGCAGCCGAGGGCGACGTAGCCGGGCGGCGGGACGGGGCGCCAGACGGACACGCCTGGTGCCTCCCAGACGAGCTGGTATGAGACAGGGTATCTGACGAAGCCGCTGTTAATGGCTATGGCGACGACCTGGTGGTTGGGGTGGGCCACGCCTGGGGGGGGGAGGGGCCGGGGGCAGTTTGAGGGTTGGGAGGAATTGACACACACATGCACACATGCACACAGACACACGGACACAGACGCACACACACGTGCGCGCCGGCGTGCACACACACACACACACACACACACACACACACACACACACACACACACAGAGAGACAACACGCACATACACACAAAGACGCATCCGCATACAACGGCAAACGCACACAACCGCCCCAGCCCCGACCTACCGGGCGTTACGATGTCGCCAGCAATGGCGTAGCCCGTGGGCGCCTGCGGCCGCCAGATCGACACCCCCTTCTCTGAGCTCATGGTGTCAACGCCCCCTGCCCCCGCCGTCGCAAACGGCGGCGCGGCGCCGCCCCCGCCGCCCAGGCCGCGGCTGGACCAGACGAGCTCGAACGTGTGGCAGCGCGCGAGGGGCTGGTCGGGTGGCGGCACGACGAGCGGCGCGTAGACGGCCTGGGGTGACAAAGGGGTGGTGGGGCAGCGGGGCGGGGCGAGGGAGCGCCGGGTTGACTCATGGTTCGGCCGAGGTGACAGGTGATGCAGCCGTGACCATGATGAAGCGGCTGGAGCCTTGTCAGGTCCCCATGGGGGGCAAGAAGAGGAAGAGAGGGTTGAACAAGGGGGTTGTGGGGGTGCGATGAGCCTCCGACCCAGCCCCCACCAGTGGGACCGAACGCCTCGCCCTTCGACCTGAACAGCTCCCACCCATCCCACGGTTTCATCAGCCATTGCCTTAATCATGTTGTATCAGCCTGGCATCAGTTGTGCACGCCAAAACCCAGTTTGGCTGGCTAGCAATGCGTCTAGGTCCATCACACAAGCCCTGTACGCCCCCTTCCAACCACGCACACACACACACTCACAGTCACATATCATTGCAAGCACACGCGCATGCACACCAGCACATACACCCGCGCACGCATACACACACCCACACATACGCACGTTTGCATACTTACACACACAAACTCTCTCTCACACACTCATTACACAATCACACATGCTCAAGCACACCCATTCACGCGCACACACACACACACATACACAACCACACAAGCGGACCTCCAGCTGGTGCATGATGAGCGCCATGACGTCCGGTGACATCCTCAGCTGGACGTCCGAAATATCCAGTTTCACATCCTGCAGCGTCTCGCTCACGCGGTATCTGGCGGTGACGTCACACGGCTCAAGGATGGAGATTGCCACCTGCTGTCCGCGCGCCACCGCCACCGCCGCTGCCTCCGACCCGGGCCCCGCCGCCGGCTGCGGCAGCTCGGCGGCGGCTGCGGCTGCGGCGGCGGGGTCGGCGATGGCTGCCGCCTCGGTGGGCGACGGGATGGCGGCGGGGTCGGCGGAGTGGATGGGGGTAGTGATGCTGGCGGTGGTGGTGGGGCGGTCGTCTTCCAGTGTCCTCTCCTGGGCTTTGATGGCGAGCCCCCTCAGTTCGGCCAGGATGGACGAGTCGGGGCCCTGGGGAGATGAGACGTCAGCGAGGGGGGCAGAGGGGTGGTAGCTTGGTGAGATTGGTGACGTGGCATGGGGCAAGAATGGCTGGGCGCGCGGTGGGGCGACTTGATGGATTTGCAAGATGAAGGCGGGCGGATGGCTTGGATCCAAGTAAGTGGCAGGAGCAGGGTGGCATGTAGCAGTGGGCAACGGGGGTCCTAAGTTGCCCAAAGCCGGACAGAGCAGCCCAAGTCCTTGTGCCGGCCCCCTCAATTGCAAAGGCGAAGACACCCTGGCACATGCAATGTTCCCGCCTCGCCGCTCAGGCTGCGGACACCACGTGACGTCATCGCACCGTCATCGTGTACTCCAGCCCCAGGTCAGCGTACAGCGCCAGCATGCGCAGCAGCTCCGGCCCGCCGCTGCCACCGACGCCGCCGCTTCCGCCCGCGCCGCTCGCCTCCGACCCCGCCACCGACACCATCCCCATCGACGTGCTGCGCGCGTGCGCGGGGCCGACGCGGCCGCCGGCGCTGGGCGCGCCGGGCGCGGGCGGCGGGGCGATGCTGCCGGCGGCGGCGGCGAGGCCCATGTGCGAAGCCGGCATGGAGGCCGAGTGGGTCATGTGGGACGGCCAGTTCACGCTTGTGGCGCCGCTGCCGGCGCCGCCGCTGCCGCTGCCGCTGCCGCGGTGGGCGTCTACTATGTAAAAC